ATTCTGGCTTGTACCCTCCATGCCTGGGCATGTCTTTCTAAATAGGCTTGGAGGTGGTCCCTTGCCTCTTGCAATTTTCTGAAGGATGGGTTGTGTAGGGGGTCTTTCATAAGTTGATTGTTCCAATCTTCGAGTTCTTGCAAGAATCGCTTTGCGGTCCCTTGCACACTATATAGAGAATTTTTTGGCCCTGTCTCTCAATTGTGCAATGCCGTTAATGAACCAGGCGACGATTTTGCGTGTTTCAGGTTGCGGTTTTATAGACAGTCAGTACTGCCAAAATTCATGAACCATGTCCTTGAACGTGGTGAGGGCCCTGAGGGGCAGCAACAAAGTGTTAAATTTATAAAACTCAGACCCCCTTTTTATATGAGTGTGGAAGGAAAGACCCAACGTTATCATTCTGTGATCGAAGGATTTACTGGGGTTGATTGCAACTATCTCTGCCGTCGTAACCAGACCCAGCAGATCCTTGGATACCAACATGAGGTCTGTGTGTGAATTGGCCAGGCCCTGGTCCCCTCTAGAGGACAAGCATGTGTAGGCTTTTTGGGCAGGGTGCAAAATTCTGTAGGCATCTTCCAACTCCCTATCTGCCATCAATTGTCTAAGGATCAGCGTGTCAGGGGCAAGGACCGGCTGCGAGGGCATCGTGGGGTCTAATCGTTGGGAAATAGACCTGCGGTCCATCATCGGATCCAAAATGGCATTGAAGTCTCCGACCATTCTAACCAGGGCATCGTATGACACACACTGCTGCACGGTAAGCCGGAGGTCGACTGTTACAGACTCCGCCAGGGCTCGATCCCTGGTCCATCTTTTTGTTGTTTCTGTTGCTTCCCTTTTTCGGCCTGGCACCCTTTTTCCAAACCCCTCCTTTGGTACCATCGGCTTTTGGACAACTGGCGCTATGCTGCAATTCAGGCGTCACTTTCAAATACCGCACTTTTCAGTTCTGCCCTCGGGGCTTTTGCAGATCTGCCCCCGGTACTGTACCGGACACCCGGTACTTATACCGGTGCCCCGTACAGTACGGGG